ATGACTTCCCAAAGTGGCTCCAAAATATAATCATCGAATGAGCTGCGCTACGGTCCAATGATCTGACGAAGTAGCCAGTCGTTAATGTCGAAAATGACGTTCAGTGATAGAGAAAAGTTAGCACACTTCATTTTCCGGCAACGAAATTTCGAAGTTGCTGATCAAAGAAAAATACCTAATTGTAAGTGAACAAATATCGGAATCACTCTAAACGGTTATCGTCATCGAAGAAAACGTTTCACACGCAATACGATACAATACAATCCACAAAAATCATCAATAACAACTGATTCTATAGAACCGTTTGGATCTGAAAAAATGCAAGCCTTGGAAGGGCTCTGTGAGTAGCATTTCCATTGCAACCAAGACTTCTGGTAAACCTGGTAAACCCACATCTCTGGATAATCACATCAGTGAATCACACACGAATCCAGACGGCTATTGCCTCACTCGTTAACTCCGTTTAAGGGGCAATATTTTCGTAATGTTTATAAGCCTTTTTACTGACTTGCACAAGCATTGCACCCAACTGTCGTCCTGGACCTATTTCCATATATGTTGGAAATTTGTAGTCCTGAAAATCGAAAGGACAGTAATAACTTGGAACAACATCAGTCAAAAACAAAAATCTTCTATGAATCCATCAAATTTTCATTCATTTCTTCTCAAAATTCAACTGTGTTAACAGAATCCCGTTGAAGATTCACATGGAAACTTATACAGATGGCCACGAATACGCAATCAAACCTGATGTTTTCGGTAGAGCAATTGTAGGATTTGTTCCCATTTAACTGGCGATGAAATTTGCTTGATTAAATTATCACGGATTCGAGCCAATTTCCGCCCGTAAATTTTCCCTGTGTAATTCGCATAAATATTCACTCGCGGGGCCGACAATTCAACTCCTGAAATTATTCTCATTCGGGGTATCATCTGCTAATTCCCCATCCAGATTTCCTTCTCGTGAGATATTCATTCCAATTTGTTAATTTGAAGGACGTTGTTTCGATAAAACATAAAAAAAGTCGATTTTCAACAATGAAAATTTCCTTCACAATAATAAGAAATGTAGAGGTCTTCCGTAATAGATTTCCAAAATTACAAATGGTAAATTTTCCATGGAAACTTGAGTCAAACAAGAAAGTTACCTCTCAGTGCATCTCGCATTGGCTCTATAGCATCGTTCATTAGTCTCGTATGGAAGGCACCACTAACAGCCAATCGTTTCACCACCTAAACGAATGCTATCCCAAATGATTGTTCAAACATTCCCAAACAGAAAAAAGTAAAATTTGCAGTTTTCAATGCGGTTTCATTAATTAATCATAAACGAACGACTGAAAATTTCTGATCGTAGAAAAAATCAACCTTTGTCTGCATAACATTCGAATTTTTCGAATTAGACTACCAACAGTTCTCCCCAAAGACGGCAAAAACTTCAGAAGCTTGATCGAATACTAAAAAAAACTTCGCAACTGCACCTGAAACGCGTATCGTTCTTGATTATCCTCCAGGAATTTCAGGCACGTGTTTGAGGCGCCAACCACTTTCACTCCACAGAAGAGGAAATTCGCGATTTCACATATTGGTTCCTCACCCTTCTCACTGAAAATTCCAAACAAATATTTCAAACAATATCTAAAACCAAACCTTACACTTCCATTTGAAAATACTCATTTGCTGAAGTACCATCTAATTCTTCTAACAGCTTTCACTTATTCTCCCTTTCAAAATACGCTGTTGAATCAAAATGCCTTACCTAACTAGGCTAGAAAACAATTCGTAACAAATCTGAAATCTGAGCGAAAACAAACGGAACAAGAAATACCTAGCCAACTCCCTTGCATCAGCCATAGCTTCATCGAGGCGAGATGCGGCAGATACTCGGACAGTGACCATACCCGAAGCAATCCGCTGATTACACTCATGCATCAGTTTTGCTCTTGTGTTCACGAGACGCAATGCTTCAAGAGATAGTTTATATAATCGGTTGAATCACTTATTTGCAAACCTCATAAATAAAATTACAATCGGTACTGCTATCGTCAGAACCAATCCCACAGTTGTTTCGTGATCACTTTCACTTCTAATATTCTCATTACACGTTATAAACCCAACTGATTGCATACACCTCATACATCTACTACCTGATCCCTACACAAAACAATCAGATTGCGCTCAAAGAAATTCTTCGTGATTTTCCAGCGAAAACATTCACATTTTAATGAGTATTAATTAAGGTCAATTAAGGTCATTGTGAGTTCGAAAGTGTACATAATTCCTAAGAAGTGCTTTTAGAACTATGCAACTTACCATCCTGAAATGAGATCACACCAGCAAGCACTAACGCTGCATATTCACCGACACTAAAACCAGCCGTGTCTGTAACTCGATCCATGAAACTATTCTTCGTGCTCTTCGCCAGTTCGAGTGCAGCCATCGAGCTGACAAAAACGGCCGGTTGACAATATATTGTTTGATCGAGTTTTGATTTCGGACCTAAACCCAACTGATCGTTATACAATCCGAATGAGCCATCGCTATGCTAAACGAAAATCGATAAAAAAGTATGAATATACCTTCTAAGCAAAGTTTCTTGATATCGTAGCCAAGTATTTCTGATGCTTCATCGTACACTCGACAAGCTTCTGGGCATTCCGAGAGCTGGAATTAAGGCACAAATATCGGTGTGGACAAGGCTTAAATGAGACTAGTATTTTCTCTCATGATGTACTCAAATATATAACTGGCCAATGAACTGCATTGAATCAACTGCAAATAATAACAGACAACAATAAATCTGTTCACAATATTCGTGTCAAACAATTCTGCAAAGATCAAAATTGAAGTAATCTTGCCTTTGAACCCATCCCAACATGTTGTGCTCCTTGACCAGGGAATAGCGCAACAATTTGTTCCTCTATTGGAATATGATCGAAATTCAGTTGAAAAATTTTCCGTTTTTTATGCCTTTCTGCCACCCATTTCTTGTACGCAGACGACTTTGAGCTTTGAGCTTCGCCTTTCCTCAGAAGTTCTTCTATATCCTTAAGTGGAACATGTATAGCCCTTACAACATCTCTGAATGAGAAGATTCAAAATACACCATATCGTTGGATTTAGACTAACCATCAGAAAACAATATTACTTCAGAAGTGAAAGACTGGGATGAAACAAAAAATGTGGATACCTCATCCGGATAAGGCGATTTCGTATAGGGGTCAACAACGGCCGAATGAGTGTCTGCATATGTCGTCGACTCCTTCAACCATTCAACGGGTGCATTAGCTGCGGATGGTGATGGTTCCAGCACTGGACGTTTCTGACGGATACCTCGCCGAACGATTCTGGAGATGGCCACAGATCCGGAAGATGACCACAGACGTTTCATTGGCACAGCTGAGGCATGAAATTGTTACGATTGGACAAACACACCTGCAAGGAGCATTGCAATATTGCAGAATGAAAGCATATCGTGAATTATATTCTAAGAGCACCAGTGGAACTCAATGGTGGTTGTGCAAATGCACATCAGTATCTATCGAATATAAATATTCTCAAAACAACTGAAACATCGAACTCTAATAACGTAATGATATCTCCACCACCACAATAGTAAACACACAATTTCGCTGAATTGAAGAAATTTTTGACTATTACCACAACAACGTATACTTCCAATGAAAACAAAAATTTTCGAGAGAAATGGATAAATGCAACATATGAAAAAAAAA